CCATATCTCAAAAGGAGTTTTCTTATTAAGAGCACGATGTGGCGACCTATTTTTCAAATAAACACTAGTCGCTACAGCATCTTGCCAATAAGCTTTCGCAAGTGAACCATGAGACAACATGCAACGGGCTTTCTCCATAATGCTACGATTGCATCGTTCACTCACTCCATTTTGCTGAGGGCTATAGGGCATCCTAATTTGGTGCTTGATACCATTTGAAGCCAAATAATCAGCAAATTCATTGTTGACGTACTCAGATCCATTATCAGATCGCACTATTTTTATTTTTGAGCCAGTTTCACGTTCAACAAGAGATTGAAAAATAGAAAACTTTGATTTGACTTCTGTCTTAGAAGATATAAAATAAATAAATATAAACCTGGTAAAATCGTCTATAAAAGTAATAAAGTATTTATTACCTTGAAAAGAGGTTGTTTGAAATGGTCCACATAAATCTGTGTTAATTAATTCTAGTACTGACGTAGCTTTCTTACTTTTCAACCGTTTAAAAGGTTTTCTTGCTTGCTTACCCTCCACGCAGGGTATGCATGGTTCCTTGTCAACCTCCTTGTACTCCACTCCAACTGCTAGACCTTTTCTAAGTAGATCCATACCTATGCGACAGAGATGTCCTAATCTCTTATGCCAAATTTTAAAGTTTGAGAGTTCAGAGTGCACATTATAGGCTGAAACATTTTGTGGCAAGTTAATCGAACAATCTAAATTATACATTCCACCACTAAAAGAACCGTGCAAAATAGGGTTATTAGCAAAAGATACATCACAAGATTTATAAAAGTTACAACCATTTTTATCAAAAACAACAGAAAAATCTTTTTCGACAACTTTCTTTACCGAAAGTAAATTACATTTTAAACTAGGAACATAAATAACATTACTTATTTTTGATACTACAGAGTTAGTATTTATTGATACCTCACCAATACCCACAGCTGGCAATTTTTGTCCGTTTGCTACAGTTATGCTTCCACTATCGATAGAACGATAATTTTTGAGCCATTCACCGTGTGAAGTCATATGTCCCGATGCTCCAGAGTCGATTATCCATTTATCGGAGTTCTGGTTATTTAGGGATGACATAGCCACTTCTGACAAGCAATCTGTTGTATCTTCTATGTTTTGTTCCATTTTTGACATATTTGCCTTTTTTACCTTTTTAATAGGGCAATCAGGGCTCTTATGTCCAGGTTTTCTACATTTAAAACAAATAATCGGTTTCTTCGTCTTCGCTTTTAATTGTGAAGTACGAAATGCTGCAACATCATCATTCTGAGCTACCTTTGACATTTCACTCAATAACTTCGTCTTAACCATTTCTAATGTTACTTCGAGATTTGAATGTTCTAGAGCCATTACTAGAGGATCATAACGAGATGTTAGTCCGCCTAATAAAATCGCAGCAAGAGAGCTATCTTCGATTGTTTTGCCAATATCTGCCAAATTCTGGGCAGTTGTCATGACTGCATTAATGTACGACTCAATATCGGTAAAATCTGATAGGGAGTACCTGTACAGCTGTCGCTCCAATGACAACTTCCGACCAAGACTTTGGTCTTCATATGCCTTTTGTAATGCATACCATGCCTCTTTCGCTGTCGTTGCTGTCCTCACATGCGTCATTGCCGCACCATCCACAGAAAGACAAATTTTTGATAATGCTTTCTGGTCATTACGTGCTTTTACATGGGAAGGTGTATCGTCAAACGATTCATAACCGTCTATTGTATTCCACAACTCTTCGTGCACCAACAGCATTTTCATTTTGAATTTCCATGCTGTATAATCTTCACGTTTCACCAACATTTTTATACAATTCAAATTCATCCCAGCCATTATGAATTAGTAGAATCTTCTTTTAAATAAATTCCTTACTTCGTGCTGATAACGAATGTTGAAAATAATAAGCTCAGTTTGATGAATAATAAAAATGTATGTATTATGTGAAGTTTAGAAGAGAATAGCAAACTGTCATAAATTATTATATTGTTATATTTTTGTATTTAATATTTTGATTATAGAACATTAATAAAAACGACTATAGAGTTTTTACAACAATTATCCGTATATTCGATTAACCGGACTTGATTGTTCACAGCTTTAATTACTGATTCAGAAATGGTATCATTTATTAATTGGGTAAATAGGTATTATATAATCCATTATCTTTATAACTCGTATTTTTTTTTATATCGTATTGTCTCAATGACGTATGTCAAAAATAAAAGAATATTAAAAATAATGTTTGATTTGACTATGAAATCGATTATCCGGATTTTCGATTATACGGATGTTTTTTATGGATGAAAATGGTATGGTAGCCCCGTCTGCGCTAACGGGTTACGCTGGCGGAGCACCAGTGAAGGGTGATAGATGACAATGAAAACAGGCCAGTTAGCCCATCATGATGAATTTATCAGGAATTAACCATGATAGTTTCCAGGGGAAACCGCGAGGAAGTCGACCTGGTTGGGTATATTGCTAGCAATGGGATTCTCAGTCTCCATTACTAACAATCCCTTTCCCCCGATTATGCGGATTATCTCTGGTTTCATTTGATTCGGATAATCGAGATTCTATTGTACTATAAATGTAAAAGTTCATTTATTTGTTACCTTATAGCGCCTTAACGGCTTAACAAATCACTGCGAAATTTGGTATACAAGTACGGTATGGGATGGAGAAGAATATAGGCTCTTTATATCCTAATCAATGGACATATCTTGATCACGCGGACGATTTCGCGGATAGAGATTGCTTAGCGATAAGGCCGCCATTTGTATTAGTTCACATTAAAATTTACTATTATTTGTATAAATGATACAGTAAATTTTTAATTATCAACAAAGTCGCTTCCCGCCGTCTGTACGCTTAAATTTTTTATCCTACACAGCGGATTTTAATGCGGTTTTCATCAATATATAGAGTGATTTAAAAGAAAGATTTACATTGTTTTTTCCTTTACAACACACGGGGCAAACGAGCATGCGGCTCACCTGATGGTAAGTGACTACCGCCGCCCATGATCACCCGCAACACCAACAGCATTGCAGGTGTGCTGCCGGCCTTTTAAAAAGGAATACGAGTATGCTCTTTTCTTGAAGGTTATGATGTCGTATCGGTTCGGAAATACTGCTGCTGAATGTTGATCTCACAGAGTGGTGTGTTTAATACGGTTTCAAGTTAATTTGTTGAAATATGACGCTAATTGTACAAGATATCGGAAGAAATTAAGTCGATCGAGAGCGTTCATCGAAAACGCTGCCTAATCCTAATAAAACAATGTATGGCGGAACTATTTTTTTTTTTTAGGTCTATAAAAAAAAGTCCACGATGGCACATGCCTGTTAAGTGTTGGGTCATCTTTTAAGGGTTGCTTACTATACCCAGCTAATTCATATTTGACGCAACAAACCGATACAAAAATTATAAGCATACTTATACGGAAGAGTGAGATGTTTTTGTTCAAGTAAACTTAGATTTAAGCATTTTTGAACAGTAATTTTTCACTTTTTACTTACTTACAACATTGTACATTGTCTGCTTAATTGTTGTGAGCATATTGTTGGTGTGTCTTTTATAAATAAATAAATAAATATGCTCTACTACCCGTGCGAAACCGGGGCGGATTACTACTAAATAAATAAAAGCTAGTTTCATATATTTCTCCAAATTCCCTCCACTTTTATTCAAATCAAAAACTTGTGTCGGTTTTGATTAAGTTCTATCGTTTAATCGTAACGTAAAAGGTGAACAAAAACAAAGCCATTCCCCGTGATGGCATTTTCCACCTCATATCGCTACCTTCTCTGTACTATGCCGTGTGGTTCCGGAATAGAACGTGTCATCTCGTCCTTTCCTGTGGATGTCGTAAAAGATGGCGACTAGAAGAAGTTAACGGTCGAGGGATGGGTAATAAAGTCCCTCTTAAAACATCACTAAAGCGTGTGGTTTTTTTTTAATGGGTGACAATGGAATGGTAACCCCAATCGCGCTATCGGTATACACCGGCGGGGTACCAGTGAAAGATGATAGGTGAGGATGAAGCAGGCCAATTAGCCCATCGTGACGAATTCAACAATTGTTCACGATGGTTTCCAGAACCACGTGGTGATCGACCTAATAGGGCATATTGCTAGCAATGGGGCTGTCAAACTTCATTGCTAAGTATTCCTCCCCCCCCCCCGTCTCTCCGCGTAACTGTGGTTGCCACCCCGTCTTCCAAGCATGGCCACTACTGTTAAATCTTCCATAATTTCATTTATTCGTAACAATATAACATCTTACGGGGGAGGCCAGTGGACAGTTAAAAGTTGATGTAATGAACCATATTTACTAGTATATACTATGGATTTCGAGAATTTATAAATACCAAAACTGACAAAAAAAAAATAGCAAAATTTCTTCATATTAATTTAATTCTTATTCAATAATTTAATGTCCTCAAAATTTCGCAAACAGAATTATTTATCCCCAAAATTGTGAAAAAACTGCCTAGTCTGGCAACACTGTAGCCAACTGATATAAAGAGAATAGCGTCTAAAGACATTAATAGCAATACGAGCTTGCCAATGACAAAATACTTTTTTTTTATACAATAGAATGGCAAACAAGCTGACGGCCCACCTGATGGAAAGTGGTAACCGTCGCCTATAGACATGAGCAGTACCATGGACATAACAGAATATACTGTTTCGCCCGTGATACCCCCCATGTGTTGCCATTCCTCAGGACTCAAATGTTATTCCTCCGTACCCAGTAAATTCACGCCATATCCCACCCTTCAGACCGAAACACAGCCATGCAAACACAACTGCTTCACGGTTGAAACACGAATGGAACAGAGGTACCAAAGCAATCGACTTTTGTACAAAGTCTCCCTCTGGGCCAAGATACCCCTCATAGTTTACAATCTATATTTCATTAATTTAAAGCGAAATTTTTACAATAAAGGTAAATTATTTTAAATAATAAAATACATGTTATCAGACTCACATGTTTATTTGTACACAATTTACATAGTTTATATTATAAAATCACTGTATGGTCACTGTGGCCAGCACAGAATGGACCCTTGTTTTCCCTTGGGTATCCTAAAAGGTGAATAAAGAACGGTCAAGTTAAGGAGTCTATTCGTGATTCCTTGACCTTTTGGTCAAGCGCCTTGCACCTCATCGAGAGTGACGATCAAGTGATCGCGCATCAAAAGCTTAAGGAAGGTCTCCTATACAAGTACAACGTCCACCTGATTTTCGAAGAGAAACTCGCGAATTTCATCTTTCTGGCTTTGAAGCCTGACTTTGAAAAATACCAACTAAACAGACCGACGTTTATACCTTTTCTCTCGTAAATCCATATTTTAATCTTTGTAATCAAGTACGACGACGTGCTCGCACTATCGGATAGTCGTGGATTCGATTCCCGTACATTACACACATTTGTATTCACGTGTGTGACTGTTTCTATTGGTCTGGATGTTTGCTATGTATACATATGATATGTATACATTTACAAATAATTAAGGTTGTGTTCCACAAAACAAAGTCGACTTCAAATGGAGCAAAACAAACAAATGTACTGTACCGATTTTGATAAAATATCTATCAGACCAATCTGTGAATATATCCTATACTTATAAATCATATATTCAGGTAAAAAAGAGTCTTTCCAAATCGGTTTACAACTGACTGAATTATGAGGTAACAAAAATGAAAAAAAAAATTCAACTGAGTTTCAGAACTTCCTTTTTTTTAATCTATCGAAAAGAAAATATGTATTTGAAAAAGTCTATCAGTCTAGTATCAGGCAGCGCCATCTAGTTCTGAAACTAAGCAGAACTGGTTACCATTGTAACAAGTTCTGCTTAGTTTCAGAACTAGATGGCGCTGCCCAACACGTCGCCGGCCGGCTGCGTTTATCGCGCTCTTCTTTCCCCTCTATCTAATCATCATGATAATCACAGCGATGATGACGTAGCCCTATGTCTCTATATAATAGTGCGGTGCCACTTCCAGAAGCCAGTCCTTCTGTATGACCATTAGATCGCTCATGTACGTCTTATCGTTTACACTGTACACGCTGGCGAAAACCACCCTGAAACCAATTAGATTATATCGTTACTAATATGTCATGTGGTCCCGGCATAGAATAAGCCACCCCTTCCTTTCCCGTGGGTGTCGTAAGAGGCGATTAAGGGAGATAGGCTTTGCTGATGTCTTAGGAGGGACGCTACTGTCCTTTCTTCGCCCTCCCTTAGTCGGTTCTTACGACACTCACAGGATAGGAAGACCTATTCTATACCGGGACCACACGGCTATTACTGATAGAACTTAGCTATCATAAATTGGTCCTTCGAGCCGGAAGTTTATCACATATATAGACAGACAAATCTATTGTGATAAAAAGAGTCTAAAGACAAACCGGATTGTTAATTTTAAACTTTCGCGTTATTTCCACTAATTTTAAACACAGCGTGAACAAGACGTGCTGTAATCCACGTCGAAAAGTCGGCAATAAAGAAGCAAGTAGGCACTGTTTATCTGTAAGGGCTTTTACATCGCGTTAAGTCCCGATGGTGTATTTAAAAAACCGGATCGACTAGAGTTTGTTTGTTTATTGCCTTATAGCGCCTTAACGGCTTAACGAATTACTATGAAATTTGGTATACACGTACGGTATGGGACGGAGAAGGATATATAGAGGCTATAGATACTTTTCATCGCGGTCATTGAACATATCTTGATCACGCGGTCGAAGTCGCGGATAAAAGCTAAAGTTATATATAATTTAAAATATGTGTTTAAAAACCCAACTTCAATTGTTGTAAACCCAGTTATTTCAATTTAAAAAATAAACTGTTAAATCAAAAGGCTAATTTTGTTAAAGGAAATAAAGATATTCTATTCTATTCTATTCTAATTTTGATAAAATTTCTATGGGGCCAATCTGAAAGCCAATTTCAAATAAAAAAAAAAATACTAATCGGTTTATAACCGAATTATGAGGCAAAAACACAAAAAAGTATACAACCGAATTGAAAAACTCCTTTTTTTAAAGTCGGTTGAAAATTATCAAAAAGCATTGCACTTAAAAATAGAATCACACGCGACAGCTCGAACTACAGAGTACGGTAATAATCAACCAGATGGCGCTAAATGATTTACTTTCGACAGACATGTCAATTTTATACAAGAATCATGCCCTGTTCAGTTCTTCCTATTCCACTGGAGCCAGCGACTCACCATTTAGGTTGCTGCAAGTTGTACAAACAACTGTCCGGACTGATGTACAGTTCGGCCCCTCTCAGCCCCTGGTAGAAGCCGCCGGCACTCAAATACGACGCTTGGGGGAAAAGGCCGGACAGTATGCATTTCATTATACGCGTGCATTTTGCTGAAAAGAATCGATATTATTCTTTACTAACATTTACCAGTAGGAGACTTTGTACAAAAGTCGTTTGCTTGGGTACCTCTGTCCCATTCGTGTTTCAACCGTGAAGCAGTTGTGTTTACATGGCTGTGTTTCGGTTTGAAGTGTGGGATGTGGCGTGAATTTACTGGGTGCAGAGGAATAACACCTGAGTCCTCAGGAATGGCAACGCATGGGAGGTGTCATGGGCGAAACAGTATACTCTGGTATGTCCATGATAATGCTCATGTCTATAGGCGACGGTTACCACTTTCTCTAGTAATATTAACATCTGCTAGCCTACTCTTAAATCCAACTCAAAATCGATATTATTCCAATTTATTGCCAATGACAACTTTATACTGTATTTATGAAACAATAATTAGGAGAGTTTAGTCAGAATTAAAATCTGTTTGCATTCACAAGTTGCACTAATAAATACGAAATACTTTCTCACTGTATTGGGTTGACTGGAAGAGATCTCTGTCAGAGATAAGTCCGCCCTTGCTCACAATATTTATAAATACATTATTTTATATGTAACTTACAAGTGCAATAATAGTACATTACTGCAGCGGCCAGCAACTGAGGCGTTGATGGACGAACGTGCAAATGTGAGCCGAGGTGTAGCCGAGGCACACATACGTGAGTCCATCAATGCCTGGTTGTGGCCAAGGCTTGTATAGTACTTTTCTCAAACAATGCGCAGAAATCAAAAACACAATTTTACTTTTTAAGTTCAATGACGAATAACGAACAATAATAATTATTCACGCGCCATAATGTTTCTTTGTTTTTTTTTTTCAATAAACAGCTTTCTATTTGCAAGCCAGTTCGAAATTTAAATAAAACCTTTTATTAGTTACCTCCTTGGTAGCCATATTTCGAAGTAAAAGATCATTCCATTTTTAAATTACAGGACAGATATGAGTTTACATAGTTATTTATCTGGCCGCTAAACACGACAGATATGGATTTTCATACAACTTTTGCCGGCTGCTGCCCGCATGTATCTTGGCCAGTACGGCAATTTTGATTTATCTCGAAGAAGATTGTCAAAATAATGCTCACATTTCCAAGCATGTTTGAGAAAAGAATATATAATATCCATCTATCAGAACAATATGGAACCATTATGTCGCTAGTGTTGCAACTTCGAGAATGCAAAACGTCTCGATTCCAATATCGATCTATTAGATTTTACTTCAAGAGGAACCCCACTGGTCGAGAATCACGTGGTCCTCCCTTGAAACCATAGTGGTTAATTATTGAATTGGTCACGATGATTCTATTATTATGCATTTCAAAATATATCTGTATTTGATAGCTCATTTATTTCTTTACTGAAACTTTGTCATCATCATCCTCATTTTAGGCGTTACCTGTCCACTGCTGGACAAAGCCCCCCCCCCCTCCATAAGGAAAATATTGTCAGTAATTAAGCTTGCAGTTTGACAACCGCAATTAAGCTTTGATGCTGTTTAAAGAGGGACGCTGCTGCCCATCCCTCTACGGTTAAGTTTCCTTAGTCGCCTCTTACGACACCCACGCAAACTGATGGGCTAGCCCATTCTGTGCCGAGACCACATGGCATTACAATCTTACCTGTGCCTAAATCTGGTCCATCGAATATCTGATTCTCCATTTTGAATTTCCCTTTAACTAGTTTCTCCAGGCTGTCTCTTATTTCGCACGCCTGAGAACAGAACATTTTATTACGATCATTACAGAACAATGTTTGTTTGTTTGTTTGTTACCTTTTTGTGTCTGTCGGTCAACCAATCATCGCGTCTAACCGATCATAAGGACAAAGTTGCAAGTAAAAGCTAGTATGTATATAGCAACAACATAGAACACAGTTGTTATATTATTATTATATTGTTTAGACAAAGCATTTTTACTTGAATAGAATTTAAAAATGATCTTTTAAAAATTTAGTTTTTAAAAACAAGCTCTTGTAACATAATCCGCCATCTTATGATTGCGGCCATTTTGCAATATTGTTATTTATTTTATCCTTACGTACTCTTCGAGCTCTTTCGTTCGATGCCCATAATAACGTGTTTGACAAAAAAAATACATCATCCGCCATCTTGTGACGGTGGCCATTTTGAAAATATTCTAATACTGACTATTGTAGTGTCACTAGAACATAAGGTGTAGGCAAATTTCCATTCAAATCTGATGTCGTATAAAGTGTTACTAATTGAATTTGGAAAATTTGATTTAAACAAACAAACTAATACAAATTCCGAGTTAAATAAAAGCTTGTAATAGTCGAATTAGGAATCGCTTCCTTTCGACGTCAGTTGTAAATCGATTCCAAAAGTAAATTCCCAATTCGATTGAAAATAAGCAAATATAACTCCTAATGTACACAAAATAGTAGAATTCAGAATCTTCCCCATTTTAAAATCTGTAGATTTTTTTTTATTTTTTTAAATGATGATAAAATTCTTAACATATCTCACCTTCTCTATAACTCTATAGTTCACATACATCTTGCTGCACCAGTCTTTGCACGCCTTTCTAGACTTCTTCTCGTCACTGACGGAATTTTTTACTTTCATGTATGCATCGAATACATTCAAATACATGAGTATATCGCCTTCTGCTACCTGAAAGAAATAATATATAATTATATTAAACGATACACATGTGAGAATGGCGCCCTCTAGCGTCAGGATTTCCTAAATCATCGTTAATTAAATATAGTTATTTATTTAATATATTATGTGTATTTTTATATCATATGAACATATCAAAAACATTTAAAGTTTAAATAAATAAATATAAAACAAAGTAAAAAATATTTTTTAAACAATCTCTTATAATCCGCCATCTTAAGATTGCGACCATCTTGAAACAGTTTTGTTCAATTGATTTTATTAATTGACAGTTATTTGCGACAATGCCACTAAGCATAATATGGATACCGACCCGGTATCTATATATTTTCCTCCTGGACAAATGATATCTGAAAAAAGGTCATCACTCATTTCGATATTGCCCATACCGGTCCGATATCTGGTAACCGTCGCCTATAGACATGAGCAGTACCATGGACATAACAGAGTATACTGTTTCGCCCATGATAACACCCATGCTTTGCCATTCCTGAGGACTCAGGTGTTATTCCTCTGTACCCAGTAAATTCACGCCTGCCATAAGAAACGATTCTGAACCGCCTGCATTCACTGACTCCATGCAATGAAGTCGTCGCCCCACTACACTACATGGTATGGGGGAAAGGGATTGTTAGTAATGCAGACTAACAGTCCCATTGCTAGCAATATACCCCGTCAGGTCGACCTCTTCGTGGTCTCCCCTGGAAACCATCGTGCTGAATCCCAGGTGTATTTATCACGATGGGCTAACTGACCTGCCTTTTCATCCTCATCAATCATCCCTCACTGGTGCCCCGCTAGTGTATACCGTTAGCGCAGGCAGGGTTACCATTCCATTATCATCCTTTAAACAAAAAAAAAACCACACTACACTGTATTTGCCTACATGGGGTCATTACGTACCTCGAAGTTATTCCTCCTGGATATCTTGGCGGCGATGTTTTCTTTCCCACTGCTGGACTTGGCGAACACTTTGTCCACTTGTAACATAGAAACGATGGAGAGAATTTCGTCTATACAACCGTATTCGGCTATAACAAAAACGATATTGTATTAGTACGTAATAGTATATATATATATAGTACATATATACGCATACGAACCATGGCTACCAAGTAGGTAACTAATAAAAGGTAATGTAATGTAATGTAAAAATCTTTATTGTACATAACTCAGATTAAATACTAGTAAATGATTTAGTATACAATGTCGGACTTATCCCATAAAGGGATCTCTTACAGTCAACCTTTGAGAAGCTGAAAGAAAACTGTAGAATGTATAAGGGTAATAACCGTACAATTAAAGATAAACTAAATAATAGCCAGTAAAAAAAAATTGAATATATAACACAATAAAAACAGCTCTATATACCTACATATGTAAATAATAAAAGTAAATTAATAATAATATAACATTAATAAATAAAAACTTATACACATACATATACATATACACATACATACATACATATATATATATATATATATATATATATATATATATATATACACACATACATACATACATATACATACACATACATATACACATATATACTCTCCTACATACACATACATGTATACATAATAAATACATATATAAGGTTTTATTTAAATTTCGAACTGGCTTGCAAATAGAAAACAAAGGAACATTATGGCGCGTGAAAAATTATTATTGTTCATTATTCGTCATTGAACTTAAAAAGTTAAATTGTATTTTTGATTTCCGCGCATTGTTTGAGAAAAGTACTATACAAGCCTTGGCCACAACTAAGCGTTGATAGACTCACGTATGTGTGCCTCGGCTGCGCCTCGGCCCACATTTGCACGTTCGTCCATCAATACCTTAGTTGCTGGCCGCTGCAGTAATGTACTATTAATCTTACCACTATTGCAAAGCATCTTGGCGCACATGGGCTTCAGCGGCAATTCAGCCATTCGCGAGCCTACCTCCTCAGTGAGCTGTCCGTGCTTGTCGATGGCTTTCAGCGCGTACAGGGTCTCGAGCCCCGCCAGGAGGCTCTTGGCTGGCGGCGGGGTCGGGAATGTGAATCTGGAATTGTAATTATTAAATTATTTATAGTGTAAATGAATATTGAATGACATATATATATATAGAAAGAAAGAGAGAGAGAAAGAGAAAGATTGAGGGGGGAGAACCACTTTCATCATATCATTTCATCATCAACATACTGCTCATGTCTATAGGCGACAGTCACCACTTTCCATCAGATGGCCGTCAGCTTGTTTACCATTCTAAGTTGTATAAAAAAAAAGGTGTAGATTAAAAATATTACCTTAACAAGTTATGTATGCCCAGCGCTTTGAGCTGCAGCAGCGCCCCCGCCAGGTCACTGCGGCACAACTCCGGCGGCCGCGCCTCCGGCAAGTGATCCAGGTGCGACTCCGGGTATAGACTGACACACAGACAGACACAAACGTAATACTCAAGTGAAAATTACAAATTTAATTTATAAAAAATAAAAACCGATCAAGTGCAAGTTTTTTTTTGATGGGTGAAAATGGAATGGTAACCCCGTCTGCGCTAACGTGATATGCTGACGGAGCACCAGTGAAGGGTGATAGATGAGAATGAAAACAGGCAAGTTAGCCCGTCATGATGAATTCATCAGGAATTAACCATGATAGTTTCCAGGGGGAACCGCGAGGGGGTCGACCTAGTTGGGTATATTGCTAGCAATGGGATTCTCAGTCTCCATTACTAACAATCCCTTTCCCCCCATCAAGTGCAATTTGAACTCGCACACTGTGAATTTGTGCATACGTTGCCATGCGTTGAAATTCACTGCCATATCCCACCCTTCAAATAATACTAATAACACTTTTTTTTTTAAAGTAATTTGGGGCATGTATTTATTACACATTTATGAATCGTAAGATTTCCCTTAGCACTATACGGCCGGTGATCGATCGTCCCTCAAATTGGGGACCAGTAGACAGCAGAGGTCGCCAGTTCGGGGGCCGACCACATACAAATTTGTTGCAGTATCCGGCCGTAGTACCTTCCTAATGCTCCTCAAATAATGCATCTAAACTGCGCCCACCAAGTACCCTCTTGTATAGGCATTCCGTCACCTGTATCCAATAGCGAGGACGGGATGCCTTAAATACTGTACCGCAAACTATAAAAAAAATCCCTTAACACTTGTGATAGTAGCAATCTATGGTTGCAAGCTTCCTCACCGGTAGCAAGACCCGCGGCTGGTACGACCGGCGCGGCCAGCCCGCTGACCAGCGCTACTCCTGGACACCGCCGCCACCACCAGACTCTCCACCCCCACCGACGGATCCAGGTATGGAAGCTTCTCGAAACCACAGTCCACCACTGGATCGTAGAACGAAAACATTTTTTATACCACTTAAAATGGCAAACAAGCTGACCAGTTGGAAAGTGGTAACCGTCGCCTGTAGATATGAACAAGACAGTGGAATATCGCAGAAAACACTATAATATGCCCATAATTTCACGTGTGGTCCCGGCATAGAATAGGCCACTCCTTCCTCTCCCGTGGGTGTCTTAAGAGGCGACTAAGGGAGGGCGAGAGATGGGCAGAAGCGTCCCTTTTAAAATATCTCCAAAGTCTGACTGCGGTTGTCAATCCGCCTGCCAAGCGTGGCAACTACTGGCAAAACCTCCTGGTCAGTAGTTGCCACGCTTGGGGCTAAGAGAGAGCCTTAAGTTCAACAGTGGACAGTTAATAGATGACATAATGATAATAATATAATGGTGCCCATAATACTCATAGTACTCCTCATATTTGGTCAGTGCTCGAGTAAGGCTATGCTATTATACCTCTGGACCTAATTTAACTGCCATATCATACTCCTCTAATCGAAACATAACCATGTAAGTTTTTTTTTTTATACAACCTAGAATGGCAAACAAGCTGACGGCCCACCTGATGGAAAGTGGCAACCGTCGCCTATAGACATGAGCAGTACCATGGACATAACAGAGTATACTGTTTCGCCCATGATACCCCCCGTGCGTTGCCATTCCTGAGGACTCAAGTGTTATTCCTCTGTACCCAGTAAATTCACGCCATATCCTACCCTTCAAACCGAAACACAGCCATGCAAACACAACTGCTTCACGGTAGAAACACGAATGGGACAGAGGTACCCAAGCAGAAGAAATTGTTAATAATGGGGGATTGGTAACCGTATTGCTAGCAATGTGACTACTAAAGTCGACCTCCCCGCGGTTCCCCCCGGAAACTATCGTGTTCTATTCCAACTGAATCCGTCACGATGAACTAACTGACCTGCCTTTTTATTCTCACCTATCATCCCTCACTGGTGCACTACCAACGTATACTGTTAGCGCGGGCGGGGTTGCCATTCCATTTTTACCCATTAAAAATCCCCACCTGCGCTATCGGTATACGCTGGCGGGGCACCAGTGAGAGATGATAGGTGACGATGAAAGCAAATCAGTAAGTCCATCGTGACGAATTCCACAAGAATTAACCATTATGGTTTCCAGGGGAAACCGCGTGGAGTTCGACCTGATAGGGTATATTGCCAGCAGTGAGGCTGTTAGACTCCATTACTAACAATCCCTTCCCCCCAAAAATACCCAATAAGATACCATCAAGATGTTACAGACTGACCATAAACAATGCCCGGTATAGTGACGCTGGTCTCCGCTATGTTGGTGGCCACCACCACCTTCCGTTGGTTCCTGTCGGCCGTCTGGAAGACCTTCAGTTGGCGGTGATGAGGCAGGCTGCCGTACATGGGCAGCACGATCAAATCGGCCGCTTGAACCCCAGACGGGAACTGCCTCCTGTGTTTGTTACTCTCGTTATTTTGTTCCGCATACGTCTGAAGGGTCTTCAATGCTGTTAGGATTTCTTCCTAAAAAAGGTATTTTTATTATTGAAAAATCATCATTTCACATCAATTGCTACCGTTATCTCAATTGGAGTTGATGTAATATGTTTTTATCTACATCATCCAAGTTTTGGAACTTTCGGTTTTACGACCGGTCGCCTGTTTGACGTCAACCCTTTTTAGGAATTTGATTGGATGAAGTTGAGAAAATGGAGGAAGACTTTGAGAGCGAGTAAAGGATATTAGTGAAAAAGGAATTAAGGATTTAGGGGGGGAAAGGCAATAAGGACACTGGAGTAGCAGAAGGGATATTGGTCAAAAACGATTCATGGCTTAACATAGATATAAATTTGATTATGTATTGACTCTAATTCCGCTGTACGTTTTCCAAAAGAAAAAAAACTGCAGTGGCACGGTCGCATACTTTACTAGAGGGGGGAGACTTTCTACAAAAGTCGTTTGCTTGGCCACATCTGTCCCCCTCGTGTTTCTACCGTGAAGCAGTTGTGTTTGTATGGCTGTGTTTCGGTTGGAAGGATATGGCAGTGAATTTACTGGGTACAGAGGAATAACACCTGAGTCCTCAGGAATGGCAACGCGTGGGGGTATCATGGGCGAAACAGTATACTCTATTATGTCCATGGTACTGCTCATGTGTATAGGCGACGGTTACCACTTTCCATCAGGTGGGCCGTCAGCTTGTTTGCCATTCAAAGTCACTATAAAATATATACATAAACAAACCTGTGAGGTAAGAAACGCCAGAATATCTCCGAAGGGTTCGTTTTCATGTATTTTTATAATTGTGTCCACTGTAGCCTTCACGTAGTCTGGAACAGGTTCTGTGAAAAGAAATGTATGCATTCAGACATTCAGGGCCCTTGGATATATAGGTACACCAGTTATCAACATGCTACATATAACGCCTTCGTTCGCAGTTAGTTAGAAAGTAATGCAATTATATGGACTCCACATGAGTCAAAATATATTTATTTATTTAAAGAAACACCAACAGCATATTGCATTATAACATATATAACAAACATTAAATACAATACAATATTAATGCACACGCCTATTATAGGTATTCACAGCATTCACTTTAACATAGTTATACAGTGCGAGAGAAATGAAGTAACAATTATTGAATTAAATATGATGAATGAATGATGATGAATGAATTGAATAACACTACACTACAAATATTTTAAATGTTGCGTTATTAGTTGTAGAAATATACATGTAACCTGAGTTGTGAGCAATATCAGGAAAAATAATATATATATATATATATATATATATATATATATATATATATATATATATATATATATATATATATATATAGTTAGCAATTTATTTCTGTAGGAATCGAACTATCGTGCACTATATAGTTCGAATTCCTACAGGAATAAATTGCTGAAACACTTTGTACAATAATCTCATAATAAGTAACGTATACTCATGATGGAGAAAATTCAATGGTATCTTGAATTCCAAGTGTATTCATCACGATGGGCTAATTGACCTAGCTTTTGCATGACCATTCCATTATTATCCATTAAAAAAAAATACCCCGCCAGCGTGTACCGACAGCGAAAACGGGGTTGCTTACCATTCTATTATCATACATTAAAAACAACTTCCCGTATATCAAGATACTATACCAGACATTTTACCAGAGGAAGACTTAGTACAAAAGTCGATTGCTTGGGTACCTCAGTCCCAATCGTGTTTCAACCGTGTAGCAGTTGTGTTTGCATAGCTTTGTTTCGGTTTGAAGGGTGGCATATGGCGTGAATTTACCAAGTACAGAGGAATAACACCTGAGTCCTCAGGAATAGCAACGCATGGGAGGGTATTATGGGCGAAACAGTATACTCTGTTATGTCCATGGTACTGCTCATGTCTATAGGCGACGGTTACCACTTTCCATCAGGTGGGCCGTCAGCTTGTTTGCCATTCTAAGTTGTATAAAAAAAAAATTTAATTTCATTCAAATCCGTTCAGTACTTTTTACATAAAAGACTATCAAATATCCATCATGTCAAAATTTTGTATTTATAACATTAATAAGATTTACATATAATTAATGTACCTACCTTCAACGTAAAATAAGTCGATAGGGTGCGTCCGTCCCCGAATCGACATTATCACCGATGTGGGTGCTTTATCTCGCTCTTTTCTGTCGGTTAAATTGAAGAAGTCCTTCAGGAACTCAGCGTCCATTGTCGCTGAAGACACGACCAGCTTTAGATTCTTTCGTTTCTGCAATTAAATAGATTACATTGTTTTATTTGACTGTGGTCCCGGCATAGAATGGGCCACCCCATCTTTTCCCGTGGGTGTCGTAAGAGGCGACTAAGGGAACTGAATGGTCAAGCGATGGGCAGCAGCGTCTCTCTCAAAACTAAATAAACTCTCCCAATATTGTACACCACTCTACCCGCTGACATTGATGCTCCTTTCCATTTTGAGTGTTACTGGAAGAGAACTCTTTTAGAGTTAAGCTCGCCTTTGTACATTTGATTACCTCTGTCATATTTTTTATGTATGATCAGTGTGTACAATATAGCGGGTTTTGTAAACTTCGGTTACAAAACCCGCTTGCCAAACGTGGTAACTATTGGCAACCCTCCCCCTCTCCCCAATGGCAAATCAATCTATGGAGCTACGTTCAGTATTGGACAGTTAATGTCTGAAATGATGATGATTTGATTTAAAGACAAACAAACTGACGGCCGCCTGATGGAAACTAGAAACTGGGGTCCATTCTGTGACGCCGTTATTTTGAACCCTAAAATAGTCCATAAAAGGACCGATTTTTTTTTGTATACAACTTAGAATGGCAAACAAACTGACAGCCCACCTGATGGAAAATGGTAACCGTCATTTATAGACATGAGCAGTACCATGGACATAACAGAGTATTCTGTTTCGCCCATGATACCCCTATGCGTTGCCATTCCTGAGGACTCAGGTGTTATTCCTCTGTACCCTGTAAATTCACGCCATATCCCACCCTTCAAACCGAAACACAGCCATGCAAACACAACTGCTTCACGGTTGAAACACGAATAGGACAGAGGTGTCCAAGCAAACGACTTTTGTACAAAGTCTCCCTCTGGTAAAATGAATGAACGATGTGAAATAAAATGTCTAAGAGATTTAAGTCAAAATTTTTTTTAAATTAATTGTAAAAGCAAAATTTGCAAAAAAAGACATGTCTTATTAGCATTGGAAAATGAAATGAATAAATTAAATTAAATTAAATGAATTTATTTTACTAGAATGCAGGTATTTTTTTTTTAATTAAAGAGGTTTACATTTCCTGTAAACATTTTGCCTCTATGTGGGCGTACAAATGTTTAACAATATAGAAAATTTACATATATATTACAAATTATATTTACTTACATTAGTCATAATCCCTTATCATAATTTATTACAGTAATATGCAGTTGGCCAAATAAATAAATTATTTTAACAAACTATGAGGGCATATTTATTTATTCTTTATTGCACAATAAAACTTTGTACAAGTGGCAAGCTTAATGCCATATGGCATTCTCACCAGCTGAGCATTAGGTGAAAACAGAAAGCGTATGAAGGGCAGATGTGATGAAAAATATGTGACATAGTAACATACTGAAATAATTATACATAAGAAATACACATATAATACATAAACGTTACTTTTAATATATATATAATATAGTATCAAACCAACGATAAGCATTATGAGATATACACTAAGATTAAGGGATCAAAAAAAAACATATTTAGCGATTTTTCAAATATATCTGTATTTTAACATCTGCTACATCTTGATGTATAGCTGTATCTTTGATAAAAATGGTCGTATTGGAGTAAAAAAAAAGCAATTTGAAGTTTGAACTTTCAAATTTTTGGATCTTGCCAAATTTTTTTTTTCCCAATAACATGTATCGCTATCTTAATGAATATCATGACAAAAAAATTTCAATATTTTTTTCGATCATATTTTTGGTGTACGGTCATAAAAAAAAATTTTCAACTTAAACCTCGATACGACTATTTCTCTCCGAGCTTGATCGAATTTTAAATAAAAATGGATCATTTTCTTTTTATTCATCGATATCTCAGAATCCAATAATTACACAGAAGATCGATGGCGGGTTTCAGAAACTTGAAGAAATTGACATTTTAAAAAATTAAATAATCACGTTTTTTGCCTTTAAGTGCTTATAATTTGTAAAAAAAATAAAAAAAAATCCCTGATTTTTTTTACATTCTTGTTGCAGAAAACGTTTGAAACATCTTATTCTCGCGTATAAGTCAACAGTTACCTTGGCTATTTTCTTCAGTAGTCCCATCAACACATCCGTCATCTGTGATCTCTCGTGAACCTGGAAATGTTAGAGATTCGAATTAAAAAGTAATTTAACACGCGGTCGAAGTCGCGAGTACCAACTAGTATACTATAACATATTTAAATAAGTGAAATCCAAGAACATGCATTAATAGCACTAGAATGTGAATTAGAAATGCAAACCACTTTACAAGTATCGAAGCTAACACAATCAGCAATGTACATATAAATGTGTTAGGCTTTGAATATTTCACATGTCACTATTGAAATTTCATATGCTACGTCAAATCACAATTCACACTTGTACCTGTGAGTCACATCACTAGGCGTGTTACAAATCACAGTTAATAAAATCGCTGGTAGTCGTTACTTTTGTATTTATTCGTGAGTTACCGGCTAGGTTCGTTAGCAGTGAAGTGAAATCGCAACAATCAATTAGATCGTACAGAGCAAATAGAGACTTTATTACACTACGTTCAAGTCTCTAATCGCTTGCTCTTATCATAAAAATCATAATTTATATTTCACTTTAAAAACTATTAGTAGCAACTGCGATATTAAGTCATTGCTAGCGTAAATCACATTTTGTAATTTGTAACAGGTGATAATCACAATGATAAAAAATAATAAAATCACTAAATGTAGCAATAATTTCTATGTCTAAAATGCGTAGGAACATACTAACACAACCTTGATAAATTCACGCGCCATCATATTAACATATATAAAATTTTGTTCCTTATTAGCGCTTTGCAAAATAGATAATTAATCGATCACTGTTCACTGTTTAGTAACGATGCTGTCAGTAGACATTTTTTTTTAATGCAACTTAGAATGGCAAACAAGCTGACGGCCCACCTGATGGAAAGTGGTAGCCGTCGCCTATAGACATGAGCAGTACCATGCGGCAACTACTGGCAAAACCCCCCTTTTGGGGGAGGCCTGTTCAGCAGTGGACAGCAAACTGCTGATGTAAGAAAATAATAAAAACTAAATATAATTCTTACGATGTGGTTATATAACTTTACCTCTTCATATAATATCAACGTTTCTTATTTAAATAATTAACTAAAAAAAATGTATTTTGACTAATTTAATCAGCAAATAAAAACCTTGGTCTTATTATAATTATAAAAATATTAAACGCAGACGGAAACTTAATAGTTAGAGAGCTGGCGATAATATTTTTATGTTCTTTTTTTAAACAACTTAGACAAACAAGCTGACGGCCCACCTGATGGAAAGTGGTAACCGTCGCCTATAGACATGAGCAGCACCATGGACATAACAGAGTATACGACTTCGCCCATGATACCACCCATGCGTTGCCATTCCTGAGGACTCAGGTGTTATTCCTCTATACCCTATAAATTTACTGCCATATCCCACCCTTCAAACCGAAACACAGCCACGCAAACACAACTGCCTCACGATAGAAACACGAATAGGACAGAGGTGCCCAAGCAAACGACTTTTGTACAAAGTCTCCCTCTGGTGAGACTTTATACAAAAGCTTGGTTATATTTTTATATGACATGTTCTGTTTTAAGACCTATGTACAGCTGTTTGAGAAATGAAAACAGAAGGTAAACACCGCTTGCGCTATCGATATACAGGGTACTAGTAAAGGTTGAGATATTACAATGGAACATTACTAACAATCCCTTCTCCCCTTGCTAATTCATATTATGAACGCTATAAACCAGCCAGTGAGCGGTCACGTGACAATTGAACGATATCTGCCCGTTTTTCGACTGCAGCTCCCTAACTATAATGGCATCCCACTAAATCTGGTTTAATTAGCATTCCGACCGGGCGGCCGGACCACGCGGCGTGGCATACCGCGGAGTGGCGTGATGTCGCCTGATCCACGCGTATCAGCCGCTATCTAAATACGAGTCAATGACTCATGTACTAATATTATTATATCGAAGATGCCATGTATATGTAAATATCTTGGGTGCTATTGAATGAATTTACACCACAGTTATGTAGACTGTATGAAAGCCGTCAATATTTTTTTTATGCAACTTAGAATGGCGAACAAGCTGACGGCCCACCTGATGGAAAGTGGTAACCGTCGCCTATAGACATGAGCAGCACCATGGACATAACAGAGTATACTGCTTCCCCTATAATACCTCCATGCGTTACCATTCCGTACCGTCTGCTTAATACCCATCTTTCCGGGAAGTAATTATATTTTGTTTTTTTATAGATGATAATGGAATGGTAACCCAGCCTGTGTTAACGGTATACGCTGTCGGGGCACCAGTGAGGGATGATAGGTGAGAATGAAAAAATAGGTAAGTTTTTTTTAATGGGTAAAAATGGAATGGTAACCCCGCCTGCGCTATCGGTATACGCTGGCGGGGCACCAGTGAGAGGTGATAGGTGAGTGTGAAAGCAGGTCAGTTAGCCCATCATGATTAATTCATCGGGAATTTACCATGATAGTTTCCAGGGGGACCCACGAGGAGGTCGACTTGATTAGGTATATTGTTAGCAATGGGATTCTCAGTCTCCATTACTAACAATCCCTTTCCCCCCACACTACACGTGTTGGGATACTGTAAGTGTAGAGAGCAATTTATAAATAAATAAAATAATAAATAAGCTTTATCAACCTTAAGGGTTGAAAAGCATGTACCTATCAGTAAAAAGCAATCATCTGGAAGAGTGGCGGTCTTCCACCGTGCGTTTTTCAAGGCACTTTCTTCCACGCACAACCACTCTTTGGAATCAACTTCCAGCAGCAGTATTTCCGAACCGATACGACAACATAACCTTCAAGAAAAGAGTATATTCCTTTTTAAAAGGCCGGCAGCACACCCGCAATGTCGCTGGTGTTGTGGGTGATCATGGGCGGCGGTAATCACTGACCATCAGGTGAGCCGCACGCTCGTTTGCCCCGTGTGTTGTAAAAAAAGAAAAAAAAAAGTTGCCAAGGAAAAGTAGTGAGTAAATTTAGCTTTTAGTAAATCTACCTGTCATAAACATGGCCTGCGAGGAAACAGAACACGTGTACCATTTTATTGCCAAAGAAATTGTTTATGTTTACGTCTGATCTACGAACTGACAGACATATTTCATTGTTTCTGTAAATATGCATTAATTAATTAATATAATTGTTTTTCTATTCTTTCAAGTTGCTTGGAAGAGGTCGCTATTTAGCAATAAGACTGCTCATTGTTGCCTCTTTATCTCTCTTTTATGTAATTACTAGCGGCCCGTCCGGCTTCGCACGGGTGTGGACATTTTTACGACATTTTAAAAAGCGGGTATTGTGACATAACGATAATAGTTGGACATATAGTATCGCGAAGTTTTTTGCAGTTATTGATATTTTCTTCAATATTGTAGAACATACTTTTGTTCTATCACCAATAGTTTCCGCAGCGCACGCGACCAAAGATATTTTATAGCATTTTTTTTACACCTTGAGTTACGTTACTAAAGTTTTAGTAAGGATCCCTAATATTTTCTAGCAATAAATATAGCCTATGTTACTCAGGGTGAGTGTAGCTTTCTAATGGTGAGAGAATTTTTGAAATCGGCAAAGTAGTTTTTGAGTTTATTCATTACAAACATACAATATACAAAAATACAAATCTTTCCTCTTTATAATATTAGTGTACGTAGATTCCTTTAGTTTGTGTACATATTGTTAAACTGTATCATTCTTTGAAGGGAGAGTTTATTCATTCATTCTATTAAATATTATACATATACTAGCTGACTCGGTAAACGTTGTTTTACCATATTACATTATTTCTAGAACTATACATGAAAATTTATCCTACTACAATTATTATATTCGATTTCTACCTTGCAATCTTATAGCGGCATATAAAAATCGCGATTAAAAAATAGGGGTTGATCGTAAAAAAGTGAAAATTTGAAATTGTATGTATTTTTCAATGCTAAATCATAATAAAATAATAATTAAAAAAATTGTTAAAAAATAAAAAAAAAAATATTTAGGGTCAACCTTATCATCGAGGGGTATGAAAAGTAGATGTTGGCCGATTCTCAGATCTACCCAATATGCACACAAAATTTCATAAAAATCGGTAAAGCCGTTTCGGAGGAGTTTAGTAACTAACACCGTGACACGAGAATTTTATATATAAGATATATATATATATATATATATATATATATATATATATACATGGGTACAGAAGAATAACACCTGAGTCCTCAGGAACGGCAACGCATGGAGGGTATCATGGGCGAAACAGTATACTCTGTTATGTCTATGGTACTGCTCATGTCTATAGGCGACGGTTACCACTTTCCATCAGGTGGGCCGCCAGCTTGTTTGCCATTCTAAGCTGCATTAAAAAAAAATATCGTATAATGACTGAAAATGAAATGGTAACCTCGCCTGCGCTATCGGTATACGCTGGCGGGGCACCAGTGAGAGGTGATAGATAGGTGAGGATGAAAGCAGGTCAGTTAGTCCATCGCGTGATAGGCGAGAATTAACCACATCGTTTTCTAGGGTGAACCGCGTGGAGGTCAACCTGATAGGGTACGTTGCTAGCAATGGAGCTGTTAGACCCCATTACTAACAACCCTACTTTACCAAACAAACAATCTAAACAATCCCCCCGCCCCTAAGATATCGCATAAGGTACTTACAGGCAGAGAAGAAAAAAGAAAACGAAAAACAAGTGTTTGCGTCCAACCGATGCAGGCTCCTTACATTTAGACTGGCATAAAGAACGGTCCTGAGCCACCTGCACGGAACTAACATGCGATTGCGACATCTATTTCCATTCATGTCAATGGTTCGAATTATCAATTTGCCTACTCTTGGCATTGTTCACGTATCGTTAATTACATGGTATTTCCTTTTGTAGATTCAGATAACAAAACATAATAATACAAGGAAAACATATTATTTATGCATTTACTATAACTTTGTTTCGCGACTTCACACGTCCCTACTATGGTTCCCAGGGGGAACCACGTGGAGGTCGACCTGACCATTGTTTGCAATATACCCAGTATTGCAAACAATGGTCCTGT